TTCCCCCCCCCCCCCCCCCCAAAAAAAAAGAAAAAACCGAAGCCAAATGAGACTGGAAACGAGCTCTCAAATTACAATTGCTTAGGGGGTATTTCGAGAGTTCCATGTTTTCCCTTTTGGCAGTCTTTGAGTTGATTGAAGTCTTTTCTGTGTGGTCTCTTCTTTGTACTTACATACACACATACGTACGTATGTACGTACATACATTCATACATATATACATACGTGCGTACAAATCCTGGGCAAACTACTGACTGCATTGGCAATAACAACTAGGTTGATGACAGGGTAAACGGCTATTTGTTTCCCATGGGAAATTTCAATGTACTTTCCCAAATTATTTTGGAAGTGATCTCGAAAGGGACAGTATCGCCACTTGCTCGTAGTATTGCTTCAACTGGACGAGGCACCGTGAAAAACTTGATGGTTTCAGAAACTGTTGTCGGATATGCCTCACTACTTGATGCTGTTCTTAAGCTTCCATCAGAATCTGCACCAGCTAAGGAAGTCGCCGAAATCCCTTCCAAACTGAAAGAAAATTGGCAGTGGCAGTTATTTGAAGGGGTATCAAATTTGGCCATCCTGCACAGAAAAAAAAAAAGTTACACAATTTTAGATGAATTTGAAAAGCATTGGAACCAAACTAAAAAGGGGAAGCCTGGTAATCCTATTGCTTTTAATGAGTCATTTGTATATGATATATGGGAGGAGGAAAAACAAACAGTGATGTCTAATATCAAAAGAAGAAGAGAGGAAGAAGAGGTGAGATTATAAGCTGCTCATCTTTGGTTTTCTATGATTTATATTGATTTTGTATTTCTTCAATATTCTTGATACTTGAATTTGACAGATAAAAGATAGAACCGAACAACCTCATAGCACGTGGGAGGATGTGTATCGAAGTGCTAAGAGGGCTGATAGGTCTAAGAATGATTTGCATGAGAGGGATGAAGGGGAGCTTGAAAGGACTGGACAACCATTATGCATATATGAACCTTACTTTGGGGAAGGAGTTTGGCCTTTCCTGCACCGATATTCTCTTTATCGTGGAATCGGGCTGGTAGGTTGCCCAAAAATTTTGTTATTGTTTTGTTTTCCATGTGCAAATTTGAGGTTGAAAGACTTTTTCTTTAAATATCATCCTATGACAACCATGTGCTTTTCTACCTTATGCAAACATATTAATGGTTTTTTTTTTTAAAACTTCAATGATATACATAGATGTGAATGAATGATGTCAATTCTGCTTGTGAGATCCCACATCGATTGGAGAGGGGAACAAAACATTCCTTACAAGGGTGTGAAAGTCTCTCTCTAGCAGACGTGTTTAAAACCTTGAGGGGAAACCCATAAGGGAAAGTCCAAAGAGAACAATATCTGCTAGCGGTAGGCTTAAGCTATTACAAATGGTATCAGAGCCAGACATCGGGCAGTGTGTTAGCAAGGACGCTGGGCCCCTAAAGGGTGGATTGTGAGATCCCACATTAGTTGGACAGGGGAACGAAGTATTCCTTCTAAGGGTGTGCAAACCTCTCCCTAGTATACACATTTTAAAACATTGAGGGGAAGCCCAGAAGGGAAGGCCCAGAAGGAAAGGCCCAAAAAGGACAATATCTGCTAGCGGTAGGCTTGGGCTGTTACAAATGGTATTAGAGCTAGACATTGGGTGGTGTGCCAGCAAGAACGCTGGGCCTCCAAGGGGGTGGATTGTGAGATCCCACATCGGTTGGAGAGGAGAATGAAGTATTCCTTATAAGGTTCTGGAAACCTCTCCCTAGCAAACGTGTTTTAAAATATCTTTTCATCAACCAATTAAAAGTCGTTTCTTATTCAAAAAATGAAACAAAGAAAAAGTGAGTTACCATCTTAATGTAGATGTTAAATGTTATTCTTGCAGTCAAGTAAAGGCAGGCGACCTGGAACTGATGATGTTGATGCACCGTCACGGCTTCCACTTCTCAATAACCCTTACTACCGAAATGTACTCGGTGAATATGGAGCCTTCTTTGCAATTGCTAACCGGGTCGACCGCATACACAAGAATGCTTGGATCGGTTTTCAATCTTGGAGAGCCACTGCCAGGAATGTATGTGACATCGCTCTGTCCATGTTTTTTCTGAAGTTTTATTTCTTGAACTCATTTTTACATTTATAGTTTTCTTCTATTAAAACTAAGGAACATAGCTGGTGTTGCATGAGCTTTAGAAAGATTATTTACACAAAAGAAGTGAATGTTTAGACTGTTCCATAAGATATTACAAAACTAATCAGCAGATACCTCCCATTGTTGCTTGTGTGTGAGCATGGGGCAATGCAAATCCTCGTTCCTTGCAATCTTTTGTTAGGAACCACGGATCTCCATAATAGTATGATATTGTCCACTTTGAGCATAAGCTATCATGACTTTGTTTTGGGTTTTCCCAAAAGGCCTCATACCGATGGAGATGTATTCCTTACTTATAAACCCATGATCATTCCCTAAATTAGCCAACGTGGGACTCCCTTCCAACAATCCTCAACAATCCTCCCCTCAAACGAAGTACATTATAGAGCCTCCCCCGAGGCCTATAGAGCCCTCGAACAGTCTCCTCTTAATCTAGGCTCGACTCCTTCTTTGGAGCCCTTGAACAAAGTAAACCTTTGGTTCGACACTTAAGTCACTTTTGACTACACCTTCGAGGCTCACAACTTCTTTGTTTGATATTTGAGGATTTTCTTGACATAACTTAGTTAAGCCATGGCGGCTCTGATACCATGTTAGAAATTACGGATCTCCACAATAGTATGATATTGTCCACTTTGAGCTTTTCGTTTTCCCAAAAGGCCCTTTATCTATTCCTTACTTATAAACCCATGATTATTCTCTTAATTATCATATGTGGTACTCTCTCCCAACAATCCTCAACATCTTTCTGGATGGTAGAACAATATTTCGACCAAGAAAAGCAATGTGCTTTTGTCTAACCGATGGTGTGGTTGAACAGGCATCACTGTCGAAAATCGCTGAAACTGCATTATTAGATGCAATTCAGACGCGAAGATATGGAGATGCACTCTACTTTTGGGTTCGCATGGACTCGGATCCAAGAAACCCGCTACAGCTTGATTTTTGGTCCTTTTGTGATTCCATAAATGCTGGAAATTGCAAGTAAGACCTGAAAATTCATGCTCAAGTTTTTATACTGAAACATCTGAACTCTCTTTATACAATCTTCTGATATCAATTTTTTGCCTATGCCCTTTTTTGTTTATAGGTTCGCGTTCTCCGAGTCATTGAAGACGATGTATGGTATAAAAAGTGATCTTGAATTCTTACCGCCCATGCCTGCAGATGGCTATACATGGTCCGCTATGCAGAGCTGGGTTCTACCAACCGGATCTTTTCTCGAATTTGTCATGTTTTCAAGGTTTGTAAGAGATCTTTCTCCTATCTTTACTGCACCATGGCTTTAGTTCATTCATTTCTTTCGTCTGCAGAATGTTTGTTGATGCCTTAGATGCGCAAATGTACGACGAACACCGGACAAGTGGACGGTGTTATTTGAGTTTGTCCAAAGTAACGCCCCTCGTCCTTTTAGATGTCAACATGGAACTATGAGCATTTCGTTGTAATTGCTAGAGTTGAACTGTACTTTTATTTACAGGACAAGCACTGTTACTCCCGGCTACTCGAGCTCCTCGTAAACGTTTGGGCATATCACAGTGCAAGGCATATGGTATACATGAACCCCGAGACCGGCGCAATGCAAGAGCAACACAAGTTCGACACACGGAGAGGCAAAATGTGGATCAAATGGTTTTCATACACCATGATAAAGAGCATGGACGAGGAGTTGGGAGAGGAAGCAGATGCCGACCACCCCACGAGACGGTGGTTGTGGCCATCGACAGGCGAAGTGTTTTGGCAAGGCATGTACGAGAGAGAGAAGAATTTACGATATCGACAAAAAGAGAACAGAAAGCAAAAGAGTAAAGCTAAGCTAGACAGAATGAGACATAGGAGACACCAAAAGGTTATAGGAAAGTATGTAAAGCCTCCACCAGAGATGGAAAATTCAACCACAACAATCGGTACAGAAGCTATTTTGTGATGGAAATTTGAAGGTTAGTGAAAAAAGTAGAGTCTAATCTTAAATTCATTTCATTTTTAACATCTTTTTTGTTGTGTTCAAAAATTATTGTTTGTTCGTGTAAAACAACTCCATTGTTCTTGACTCACTGGTGCCATTGTATGTTGTTCACTCACATGTATTATATTATGTTGTTTTTGCATGGCATTTCACCTCTAAATGTAAATCTAATACTCTTTGGAAGTGGGTAAATTTGGATTGTTTATGTTCTTCAATATTCTCCGTTCTATCGACTTAGACTCGGTTATGAATTTAGGATATGTTTTTATGACTATTTTGTTCATTGTTTCTCTCTCTCTCGACTTGGACTCAATTATGAATTTTAGAGTATGTTTCGATGACCATTCTGTTCTCTCTTCCTCTCTTGACTTGGACTCGATTATGAATTTTAGAGTATGTTTCGATGACCGTTCTGTCCCGTGCTTCTCTCTCCCTCTTTCTTGACTTGGACTCGGTTGGGAATTCTCTTCCTCTTTAAGACTTGGATTCTAAGGTATTCTCTTCATTGCTTATCTCTTCCTTTTTATCGACTTAGACTTGGTTATGAATTTTAAAGTATGTTTCTATTATATCTTATAACTAAAAAATAACACGGCTCTTTTGGAGATTTTTTTTTGAAGGTATGGACAAAAAAAATTAATGTTTAGTATAAACCTCGAAAGTGGATATAATTAATTTTTACTAAATTTAAATTAATTTAAATGGTATATTATATATCTTTTTTTAGGATTATAATTCACTTCTTACAAAGTTATTAAGGGTGTTCGATTTACAAAGAACAGGATTTCATACAATAACGCATTAACAAAATTAGTTGGTCGGGATTAGACTAAATTGGGGTCGGGACTAGAGTGGGTAGAGAATTTTTATATGAAAAACGGTGGGGACGTGGTTTGAATTTTAGAAATTACGATTAATTTTATCTCAATTCTTTTCATGAAAATAATATATATTTTTTTTTGTAAAGAAAAAAAAAATCTATATATTAAAAAAATAATTAAAATTTCGAAAATAAACTATAATTTTGAATTTTGAGAAAGAGATAAAATACTTTTCCTTAGAATTTGTAAATTTGTAGGGTTATTATTTCAAGAACCATTTAAATTGTTTGAGTTAATTTGAATTTAACCATTAAATAATAAAAAGAAGGGTTATTATTTTAAATTATTTGAGTTAATTTCTTGTTTTAAGTTTGAATTATATTGAAAAATAATAAAAAAAGAATATGGTTTAAGTTTATGAGCTAAGATTTTGTTAGTAAAGTGAGTGACGAGTATAAAGACAAAATTAACCAACTGAATTCTGCAGATATGGAAACGAAGGATTTTGATTTTGAATCCAACCAACGATCTTCTTCTTCTCTTGCAATCTATAAATTCTCCATCTTCTACCTTAATTTCTGATTTTCTTGTTACCTTTTTGGCCGATTTGCTGAGGGTTTTAGGGGCTTCAACACCAAGATCTTTCTTCAATTGCAGCTGTGTTTCTGTTCCCAAATATGAAAGATTTCAACACTGATTTGTTCGATCCCAGAGCGGCGATTGACTCGGATTATGTGCTCGCTGCTTCCACTTCGTCGCCGGATTCTGATTTTGGTTTCGCTTTTGACGACAGTAACTTTTCTGATCGCTTGCTAAGGATTGAGATCGTTGGTGGCTCCGATGAAACTGAGCCGGATTTTGCTGGCCGTAGTAGCGTCCTTGATTGGGCTCGCCGAAAGAGGAGGAAAGAAGAAAGGAAAACGGAAAATTGTGAGTTCTACTTAACTGTGTTTTTTCTCTTTTTCGTTTCTGAAAATCATTTTTTTCTTCTTCTTTCTACATTTAGACGAGTTAGATTTTTTTGTTGGATTAGTGTAGCTAGCTTCATCAGCGATTCTGGTTTACAAAGAACCTGACAGAATTCGAAGATTTTTTTTCCTTTTCCAAATATAATTTTGGGTTTCAGGGCCGTTTCTACTACTAGCTCAAATCCATCTTGAGTTTGCTGATGTTCTTTTTGTCTCTGGGCCTTGAATTCATAGAAAATTACTTTTAGAATTCAGAATAGATTGTATGAGTTTGCTTCAAGGCACGTCAAGCTGAGGAAACGAAAGGGGAAATGTTCGATTTGAAGTTTACGTTCTTAATTTTTAATCATAGGCTTCTGTACTTTGGATGGATTCCAGATTCTACCAAGCTCCATTTTCTCTGTTTTATATTCTTGTGTAAAGAACACTCATGTTGGAATTTTTTAGCAATTTATTTCTTAATTTTGTTCATACTTTACAAAGTTTCATACAGGGTTTCTAATATTAAAAGGTTGATGTTAAAGGGTTATCATGGTCGATCTTTCCTGAAAGAACATATAAAAAAAGTTCGGGGAATATGTTACTTGAATTGCAGCCGCGTATGGTAAATCTGGAGCTTTTCTACAAATTTTCTTTCTTGGTATGAAATATTGGAATATCGAGAGATCAATTTATGCTTTCAGTGTGGAACATTTTCATTTTCTTCCAATATGTTAGTGGGGTCACATACTTTCTTGATGCATTGATGGTGGAACTTCTCTTTTGACTGCTTCGTGCGTGGAAAAGTCGACCAGAATAAGTAATTCCTTTACGTTTTTTCACTTAGTTCTCGATCTCGGTAAATGCCCACAGCAGCAAGTTTTAACCTGTGATGATCCTGATATGGTTGAGGTCTTGTCCTTAGAAAATCCAGATGAGGGACCTGTGGCAATGATTGAAGAATCACTATCAGGTAACGGAAAGTCTAATAAGAATTTCTTTGGTCGAATCAAAAGTTGATATGATCAGGGTTTTGTTGATACATGGAGGCGTTTTTGCAGGTGATGAAGCTGTCAATGGCAATGATTTAAATTTGGATTCGTCTACCGTGACGAGGGTGAAGACCTTGCATATTAGCTCTCCTATTTTGGCGGCCAAAAGCCCGTTCTTCTATAAGGTAAATGTTAATCGTCTTTAATGACATTGTTTCATGACAATCATGCACAAAAATCCCAAGATATTTCATGACAATTGTCTTTATTAAACTTCTAGTTGTTCTCAAATGGTATGAAAGAATCCGACCAACGACTTGTGACCTTGCGGATCAGTGCCTCTGGTAAGAAATAACATATAAAATTTCTTTCCGAATGAAAACCGTTGAATGACTATGTTTTGGTTGTGTTATAAAGAGAAAGATGACTTGCTATATGATGTCTTTTTACTTGGAATAGAGGAAGCTGCTCTGATGGAGTTGTTGAACTTTATGTACTGCAATAGCTTGTCTGTTACCAAAGCTCCTGCTTTATTGGACGTGCTAATGGCTGCTGATAAATATGAGGTTTCTTCATGCATGAGGTATTGCAGCAGAGAATTGCGACTTTTGCCTATGACACCTGAGTCTGCATTGCTCTATTTGGATCTTCCTTCCAGTGTCTTAATGGCTGAAGCCGTCCAATCACTGACCGATGCAGCGAAACAGTACCTTGCTGGTCGTTATAAAGACTTAATCAAGTAAGTTCACATTTCTCATGAAGATCACATATTATAGTTTTTGTATTTTTCTTCATATTTTATTCTCTATAATCTATTATTTTGATCTGAATGGAAGAAAGTATGAAAATTATGACTTCAACGTTCATTTGGTTGATTTTGTTATAGTCTTCTTTGTGAATTGGAAAATGTTAAATTTTAACGGTAAATTGTGATTTAAACTTGTATTTTATTTTATAAACATGAATGTTAATACTTTGTGAAAAGTGAATAAACCTCTATTCAATCCTCCCATTCTAGTACCGCCAATGCTTGGTCAACCTCTCGTGATGTATCTCTAAGTAATGAAAGCATTCATGAGTTTTGTCTGTCCTTGGTCACCATGGTGAAACTGGTAGGAAAAAAAAGGTGTATCTGGTCTGGTGTAACTAATTTGACTTTCTTGATCTATAGTTTCTCGTCTTTCTCTCTATTGACCAATGCTTCGGCTTCTCTCTCTCAAGATTCGCCATTGTGAAACAGGTGTATCGAGGTAGGCCGTAGATTGAATATAGAAGGAAAGATGGATCTATTAGACTCAAAGTTGAAAGTGTAGGACCTATTGGGACACTTCTGAAATTTAAGGAACCTAACATGAAAGTTTAGAGACGGATCTTGTAATGTAACTTAAAATATTATATCGGATGTTTAAATAAGTCGGGATACCAGAGGAGTCGATTTGAAGAAGTAAACTTGAGACATTGGGAGTTTTATGCATGCTGGAGTAGTCGATCTTAAATTAAACGGGCTATTAGTATAGCTTGAAGCCGTACTCTTTATGCCTTCTTTGTTAGGTGTTTTTGTTATTTGATTTGGATTTGATTTAGTTATTTGGATTAGATTTGATTTAGTTATTTGAATTAGATTTGATTTAGTCATACTAGATTTGTTTTTAGTGTAATAGCCAATTTCTCGAACAGAGTGTCTCCCAAGTGTCTCCCAATTCTTCTGATCTTTTCAGTTTTCTCTATCCTTAAGATTTGGTATTAGAGCCATGCCTAAACTTAGCCAAGTTAAAACATTTGGTATCAGAGCCATGCCCTAAACTTAGCCAAGTTAAAACATTTGGTATCAAAGTCATGTCTTAAACTTAGCCAAGTTAAAACATTTGGTATTAGAGCCATGCCCTAAACATTAGCCAAGTTAAAACATTTGGTATTAGAGTCATGCCCTAAACTTAGCCAAGTTAAAACATTTGGTATTAGAGTCATGCCCTAAACTTAGCCAAGTTAAAACATTTGGTATTAGAGCCATGCCCTAAACTTAGCCAAGTTAAAACTAGAAGCAGTAGTCTTCTACATGTGTCATAATAAAAGTATGTCGATGCAGAGTTCATTTGTGCAGCTTGTAATGCCGAAATTTGATGGGTACTATGATCATGGGGCGATGCTCATGGAAAATTTTTTGCATTCAAAGGAGTACTGGGATTTGGTGGAGAATGAGATTTCTGCAGTAACAGAAGACATCGTTTTCACAAATGCTCAGAAGAAGCACGTTGAAGATGAGAAGTTGAAAGATTTGAAAGCAAAGAATTACCTATTTCAAGCATTAGATTGTTCGATCTTGGAGACAATTCTCAACAAGGATACAACAAAGAACATATGGGATTCTATGAAGTAGAAATATCAAGGTTCGACACGGGTAAAGCATGCACATTTGCAAGCTCTTCGGAATGAGTTTGAAATGCTTCACA